ATAAAACGTTTGAAAATAGATAGGTGCTTGCTAATTCTTAAAATATGAATTTGACATAATTTCCTGTTTTGCTAAGGTTGCTTTTTAGTGACATACTTCAACAAAAATTAAATACAATACATAACTGCGCCATCTGACACACACACACACACACACACACACACACACACACACACACACACACACACACACACACACACACACACACACACACACACACACACACACACACACACACACACACACACACACACACACACACACACACACACACACACACACACACACACACACACACACACACACACACACACACACACACACACACACACACACACACACACACACACACACACAGCTTATTTTTGGTCAATTTCTACCTTTATCCTCACCTAAATGCATTTTCTTGAATTCTGGCGATCTCAAAAGTATCACCAAATGATTGGGCATCCCTAATTTAGTTGGATATGACACCTTAAATGTTTTTCTACAATGTTTGGTTCCAAAATTAAGCGTGTTTGAACATTTGACCCGAGAGACTGGCGGCCATCTTGGATTTGACCTCTCACGGTCCTCACAGGTCAAATCTGACTTCCCTCCACATCTGAAAATAAACCATGGTATGCACTAACTATGTAAGAAATGTCATGCTTTTCTCATAAAATGCACAATTGTTATAATATGAGAGCTTATCCGCTGTACTAAGAGGACATATCATGATTTTGTGTGTTTCCTATAGTGTGTTATATAGGTTGTTGTGCATGTAAATGGTGCGCAAAGGGCTAAAATCCCTGTGTCCCCATTGGGCTCCTTTGTTTACTTCCATAACATAGCGACATCACTTCCTAACACATGCTTCTATTGGCTAGCTCTCCAACACATTGTACGTGATATGCTAAGGGAGGGGACATCTCTAAGCAGTTGACCAATCACAACAGAGCCGGCCAGCTAACCAATCAGAGCAGACTGGGATCTGGTTTCAGACAGAGGGTGGTGCAGCACAGGCAGTACGAGAAAAATAAAGAGCTTTTTGAACATTAAAGCATGTCACAGTAGAGGAACAAAATACAAATATGAATCTGAAAATTAGCATCGTAGCTCCTTTAAGAAAAAAATGCAGAGCAGAGACTAGGGTTGAATGATTGGACGAATATATTGATATTTGTTTTAGGCAATTACATTGGGGCAAAAAAACGTTGTATAACTAAACGTTTTGACTATAAAATGTATGAATCCAGGGTTTATTTTGACCAAATTAATGTATACAACATCCTTTTTTGGATGACTGTGTTTAAAGATTTCACGTTGGCAGAGAACTTTGCAATTTACAGTCCGTTGCTTCTAGAATCCATGTTTTAAAGAGCAGCTTTACATTTGAATTAGCAGCGGTGCATTCAAATGAACTCCAGCTGTAATCATTTATGTGATCGTGAATATTAAATACCCGGCTAAATTGAAAACATATGGAACTGCAAAAATCAAGGTAACTTCTGGAAGGCTTAGTAAACCTTGACCGCTGATTGAAACTGCAAACGTGTACAGCATCCAATATGTGTGACCCTCGAGGGATTGTGGGTCATCTCATGCACAGATAACCACTTGTGTCTGGCAGGCTTGCAAACATTGAGTTTCACATGACCACATCTAGCTTCCTGTATCAATACTTCCTGCTTTCCCCCTTCCCAAATCAGCATGTCCGATTGCTGAAGCAAGAACACAAACACAGCGGGAGCAGCAGCACACATTGATATGCATGAATGCACTCGGCTACATGTGCTACTAAAACACACACACATATATACTGGCTTCTCTGTGTGTCTCTCTCTGTCAAAGTTAAACACCATCCATCATATGGGATGCATGGTGCGAGAGATTACTCACATTTCTCCCAATTATGGCCAAATTGCACTGGATGGCTCTCATATTGGGGAGATAGCGGCGGCGTTCTCTTTGCATACAAATGACAAAGTCTCCGTCTCAATTTGATTTCTCCTTGACTCAAAGAATGCGATCAGAGTGTCGCGGATAGGAAAGATGATGATGCGAAACATGCCACCAGACTAGCGAAGAGAGAGATGAAAGATAAAGGGATAAATCAGTCCTACCCACCGCATCCGCTGACATGCAATCATCGGAGAGAAGGAACTTGGAGTATCTTCATTGAAAAACTAAACTTCTGGTACTAATCCACTCACTTGGATTCCCTCTGATTATTTTTGTCCATCTGAAAAATCTACATATGAAGCTTAAACTTGGATAAAAAGACTAATCTGAAAGGAAAAACAGTTGATGTCTCATGCCGAAGAACCTTTTGTGGCAATTAGGAACTGTCACACATTGATTGGATCAAAGATCTGATGATAAACTCCAAAAATCACAAAGACGATGCAGATAGTTTTTATATCTATAAGGAAAATTCCCTTTTTTCACAACTTATTATTGCCATGATTACACGGCACAAAGTAGTTCCTAGATATGTAAACTCAGGCCCTTTGATACAAGATGGTTGCATGAACAAAAACACTTTCCAACGGTTGTAAACAAGCCAACACCTGGGCCAGAGTATTGAAACCACTTCAGTTGGAGGTGATACATACTCCATCATTCCACCAAAAACTATGTGTGTGTTCGTTATTTCAAATGATTCCGGTTGAAATAGTCATTCTCAGAAACGTGGCTGTGTTCCCAGATCTGAGCAATTAACATGGTGAAATACTTTTTTACAGAGGAAGATAAAACATTTTCTACCACTGCTCAGCACTGATAAATAAAGGCAACACGCTCCTGACAGCTTCACGGATCTCTGATCATAGTCACATTTTAAATTGCAGAACCAAAACACTTTAGGTAATTGCCGGCAAATGAAAATCTTTCATCATTGTAAAGTCTGTGTAAGTGCCTCGGAAAAGACAACACTGTTGTTTCTTTAAAAACAAATGTGAGGCAGCCGATTATGAAACGGCTTCCAGCAGCCCACTCTCTCCCCAGCTAATGAAATATCTAATGCACTTAGGTTCCTTTAGTTAGCACCTGCCTCCTTAGAGGCATGTTCCTCCTCTCAGAGCTAAATTACTTGGTCTCAATGGAGCGAGACAGAGTGCGGTGAGTAACAAAGAGGGGAAGTCAAGTGTATTTTCATGAAAAGAATGACAAGCTCGTGCTGGAGGTGACAGATGAAGCAGTTTCTTGCTCACAGCGACCGGAGGAGACAGTATACTTACAGCGCTCGGCCTCTAAAAGCCACCTTTTCAAATCCTTCATCTTTGCCGGTAGCGGAAGCTCAAAAGTGCATCGTAACTGTGCCTTCTTCGAGCAAAACACTCTGTAAAGGCATTTTTACAATCCTCGCTCTTTGTGGAATGAATTATACAGCTTTGGAAATAGACGTGGAGAGGTTGGAGGCGAGGCGGCAGGCGAGGGCGTGCAGTTAAAATGAAGAATTGTGAGGTTCTGGGTCAGTAAAAATGCCAGATCTGTATCTGATTTGCATGCTTGTTGCTGTCTCTGCGTTCCTCCTCATAAAGGCCTTTCCAGTAGAGTTACTGGCAAAGTCAGAAAATATGCAGGACTCAGTGGCAGAATAAATAAGACCATAAATATATTTTAAGTGTAAGGGTGTAAATATTTGCATGTTGACCTGACAGATAAATAGACCAACAGAACTCTCCCTGCTTGTAACAAGTAGATTTCATCATGTGACCTTTATCTTGTAAATTGGAAAAGGATGGATTTACTTGATGTATAGAACAACTTCTAAAACTAATTTATATATCCATAAAAATATAGACAATGTTGAGTCTTTGTCTTTACTCAAACAAATGTTCCTGTCATTTATCTTCCAACTAGAGTATTTCATTCATTTTGCTTTTTTTAAAGAGGCCCTATTATGATTTTTGTGCTTTTCCCTTTCCTGTACTGTGTTATAGGTTTGTGTGCATGTAAATGGTCTGCAAAGGATAACATCCATGTGTTCCCTCCAGAGGGAGTTTCTCTCCCACCCCCCCTGCTTGAAAGGCCTCCATTGTAGTTTAGTTTAGTTTATTTATTTTTTTCGAGCGTGTAAAACCAAAGAAAATACAAATGAAACCAATAACAAAACGAAACATTTAATTAATAATTGAATAATCTGTAGTATCATTGTCTGATATCAATAAACAATAAACAACAAAGCTTTAGCTAATTACACGTCCGAAAAGTCCTTTGTTTACTTCTGTAACATAGTGACATCACTATGTAACACTTGCGGTTCTTTTGGCTAGCTCTCTAACACATTGTACGTGATAGACTAAGGGGTGGGACATCTCTAAGTGGTTGACCAATCACAACAGAGCCGGCCAGCTAACCACTCAGAGCAGACTGGCCTCTGGTTTCAGACAGAGGGTGAAAATAGATGCTGCAGCACAGGCAGTATGAGAAAAATAAAGAGTTTTCTGAACATTAAAGCATGAAGACATGTCCCAGTAGAGGAACAAAATACAATTCTGAATTCTGAAGATGAGCAGAATAGGGCCCTCATCTTTGAAAATAAATAGTTTTAACGACAAAGACAACAATCTGATAAGATCTTCTAAAACTGCAGTGACAAAACGTGTCAAACATATTAAATGCCTCTTACAAACATATTTTCAAGAAGTACTGTTTTCTTTGTGCGAGGATATAAATGACAGATGAACACAGTGCTTTTTTAGTGCGAGAGGGGGGGGGGGGGGTTTAAATGTGACGGTTTGCAGCGCTTTCATGCAGCATTCAAAGAAAGCGCATAATTACATAATCAGAGTGTTGAGACTGGAATAATCAACAAAAGAAATCCATAAGAAAGTGAGCGCTCATGATCAACGGCGGCACGGCTTGTCATTAGATTGATGAATTCTATTGATGCCATCCATCAACGACTAATCAAGAAGAGTCTGCGGAGGAGAAATCGACTTGCATGTGTGCGCGGATGATTGAGTGCAAAGGGAAAATGAGAAGATGTGCGGTTTTCATTTCCAAACACTTACCGAGCACGCCCAGTCGGTAGTTCATGGTGACCACGATGACGTTGCCGTAGGCGGCCAGGACGCTGGCGTCAAACATGTTTCCGGTGCCTTCCATGTAGGAGCCTCCGTGGATAAACAGCATCACCGGCTTCTTCCTGCGGTCACGAATATCTAAACAGAGGAGAAAACAATAAGTCAAAAAGTGTATTTACTATTCTCATATTGTCTTTGATCACATATTGTGTTAGACTATAATATACTCAACAAACTGAAAATTGCTCGGCGGGATGAAAATATATTTTTATATCAGAGCAACTCCCTGCAGCTGGATGTCAGCTCTTAATAAAAAGGGAGCTCAAGGTAATTTAGATTCCAGGCACCGATTCCAGCAATAACAAGAGTGATCTCATCAAATGTTTCCTGGTGATTAAAGCAATAATGCTGGAAGAAAAGCACCGGGTGGTGTAGCATATTGCAGCTTAACCTGTCTCTCAAGCCTCTGACAGTCTTTATTGTACACTGAAGCTAGGGCTGACCAAATCACTGGAACAATGAGAAATGTGCGATGGATTCGAGGTGTTAATAAAGCACAAACATGGGTAATGAGTTGTAGCTGATCAGAAATCACAATCAGAAACAGGTTAAAGGTCAAGGAATTTCCCTTGGTATATATGGCGCATACATAAACACAGTTAAAGAAGATAACATGTAAGGAAAACAACCAGAAAATGTTAACTATTATAACATTAAGATATAGAAAATGATTTACATGAAATATAGATATACCAAAAACCTATGTACAGTATACTATGAGAAAATACTCGTGCAAAATTGTTCTGAAAAGTGGAGAGCTGTGCAGATATTAAGACAGGTAGCTTGTGTACAAATGTGCAACAAAAACAAATTGGTCTAAATGTGAGGAAAAAACGCTACTGGCCCCAACAAGCACAATATACAGGTACAAAATATCAGCGTCAATATGTCATGAGGAGCGTTATTAGGAAGGAAGAAGGAGAGCCTGAAGAACATTCTGTGAAACCGACAGATAACAAAAGGCCATCAGCTCTTAATGTATCTCGTCTGCGATGAATTTACATAATTTCCTCATTTTATTTTTGCACATTGGAACTCCCAAAAATGCAAATGGCAACTTACCCTGAGCTGAAGACACAGTCATATCAACTTTTTTCTAGGTCAATTACCCTGTGGGGAATCTCTAGAGAACTGTTTTCTTGGATGCTATCGTTTTTGGCAAAAGGATCCTACCTTGAGGTTCAAAAATGGAAAGATAACTAAAAGGTTTTATGTGAAAGTCACTTCTATCATTAGAACACAAAGTTTAGGATTGGTTTTATTGAGAAACTCTCGAGCAAGTACTGATGATGATGACTATATCATGGACTCATTTCGGCTGCTCGCAGACTGATTTATGCATTTCCTTTTTTTGTTGCAGAGAATTACGTTTCTCCTTTAGCAGAATAAACATTGTGCCCGGGCAAAGTGAACAAAAATATAGGCAGCCTATTATCTTATTAATGATGCTGAAAGACTGAAGGGGCTATATCCTTCTTTCTGTTTTATTTTTGTGAGTCATTTTTACTTATTTTAAGATCGTTGTAGGTTTTATCGTGCAATTATAGACCTCCACACTGCAGACACACTTGTTGCACCCACTAAATCAATGCTTCACGATGCATAACTAAAGCGTCATTTCATTGGATGAAATGTTTTATTCACAGGCCGGAGAGGACATTGGCCGACAACCATGACATGCTGATATAGTCTCACAAGGTTTTATCCAAAAGTGAGTCTCAGATTGTTATTTATCTTAAAACAACATTTGATTTCACTTAGAATTGGCTTGATTGTCATCTGTTATGTCCTTGATTTAATGGTGTTATTCTGCTTATTAGATAGGGAGTGATTAGTTAAATGGAATTGCTAAATTATGACAAATTCCAGCAACATTCTTCAAAAATGCATGCAGGAAATATCAAGTGAATGTCAATGTCAGATGCTATAACATACGGCTGGTACCAATGCGCTGTGTTCATGGTCCCTGATGGGCCCTCGTTGGCCTTTGAACCAGTCCCCAGCTGACAGAGAGCAACGATACTCCTGCCTGCCAGGGGCCCCGCGGTAGCATATGGCTCACAAGTCTTAGAACCGTGGCACAGTGACAGTCCTCAGTGTGTGTGTGTGTGTGTGTACGTGTGTGTGTACGTGTGGCCTGGGGATATGAAATAGCAGTAGTGCAGAACAACCACATAAATAACCACTACAGCATCTGTTAGGAGGGAAGAGAGATGAGAGGGTGTCTGGCTCCCTGAGTCACACACACACACACACACACACACACACACACACACACACACACACACACACACACACACACACACACACACACACACACACACACACACACACACACACACACACACACACACACACACAACACACACACACACACACACACACACACACACACACACACACACACACACACACACACACACACGTGTAATACCTGCTGAAACATGCATCACATGTTTCACATGGTACACAAACACTGATACTCCAGTGACTCAGGGTATCTCACACACACACAGTCATACTTATACACAACCACAGCTGAAACCAGTGCATCAGTCGGGAGGGAGAAATGTACAGGCAGCTGCAATGGAGAGTCGCTATGGCAACTGCTTCTCCTCCACTTGCTTCTCTCTCTCTCGTGGAAGTCTCATCGACTGTTGCTGTGGCAACATATTGCTCTCGTTCATCTCTAACCCCATGGTGCCCTTCGCCACGTCGCTACCTGAATCTCATTTCATTAGTGGGGAATGACCACACACACACACACACACACACACACACACACACACACACACACACACACACACACACACACACACACACACACACACAACACAACACACACACACACACACACAACACCACACACACACACACACACACACACACACACACACACACACACACACACACACACACACACACACACACACACACACACACACACACACACACACACACACACACACACACACACACACACACACACACACACACACCTCTGCATCAGGAGATGAAGACTGACAGCCGCTGGCATCATGGGAGACAGAATGCAGATGCACTTGATGTACACACCCACGCCCGCATAAGACACAAACACACACACAATCACCATGAGGCTGTCACAGCTGACCTGTAGCCTCTGTGTGCATGGATCAGTAACGGGCGAATTGTTCTGGCACAGTGACAGGAAGGAGTGAGGCTCTCCGGCTACGAGCCTCCCTCTGTCTCTCCTCCTGTGTCAGGCCTTCTATTTCTCTCTGCCTCTTTGTTGCATTTCAACTGAAAGAAAAGTCTGGAATGCCACGCATGAACGAGTGTTCCCGTTCTCAGAATTCACACAATCGATCAATCAATGTTGGATGAACTGCTTTTCAAAGTAATATTTCCGCATTCAAATGTCTAAAATTGACTTGATCTGTTGAACTTTGTACTTACATTACACCAAATGTCTCCAACAGTATTCAAACTCTGAGGCATACGTATGTTTTTAAGAGTTGATGGTCTGTTTCATCTGGTCATTTGTTAGTGTGATGTATCCCCTTTCTTTATGAATTACCATCGTGGTTTTTCTACCAGAAGCTGCAATAAATTGACTTTTTATCCAGTTTCAAGCCAAATCTCTACAATAAACCATTTAGATCTTGGACATTTTTAACTATATGTAGTTCTAATGAAGGATCTTAGCCATTAGATGTCTGGATTTTAAGTTATCAGAGAAACATGCAAACAAATGTTAAGGGCAGCCCTCTGAGAGACCTCTGCAGAATAGTCTGCTTCCGTTTTAAAACCTTCCGAACGATGAATAGTGAAGGAATCCTGACCGGGAGCTGACTGTGATAACATCAATAAATAGCACCATCTTTTGCTATTGTATTCTATAAGACACTATTATAATGACATCACGTGTTCAAAGCTTCCAAAAAAAATCCCTGCCACCAAGGCTGCCATCATCTATCTCCTAAAATTATGCAAATGTTATGCAGCAAGGTGCTTAAAAACCTAATCACATCATCAGCTGTACTCGGAGAACCTGTGGTATTTGTATAATAATGCCATCATATGCTTTCCATTAGTCATTTTGTTTAGCATGTCTACAGACAAACAGAACAGGTGCTGAATGACGACAGTGTATACCATGTACTGTACCATGGAGACAGTTGGGGACAGCTACCAGAATATACATGCAAAGCCTCAACAAATCCTAGACATCCTATACTAGATTATCGGCAGATGGTCAATATTTCCACATACAAACGAGATGATGCTGGGGAGCGAGAGGCTTACTCATAGTGACATGACATGGCAAGCTCTGATTTGTGTTGAAGTGCTATGTCTAAAATGAAGAGCAGAAGTTCAGCAATAGGTCAACGTCACCAAAAGATATCACTCTCACTTTGCTTTTCGGAATGAGGACTGGTCGGAAATCACATATCACAAGTTTAACCCTAACCCTAATACCTCGATATCGATATTGCAACCATTTGGTAAGCTTGACCGCTGACGCTTTTAGAAAATATAAACATAATGACAATTTAATTTTGTATGTATTTAATGACTAAGTAACCAAATGATAGAACAGGTAGAACAGTCAAACTCAGAAAATAGCATCACTTTATTCTAAAGCAGACTTCAGAACCAGGAAAATACGAGACGTATTAGGATATCTGAAATCTAAGACGGTATCTCTATCATGATATCCATACATCGCCAGCTTCAATTGGAAAAAACGCCATAATAAAGAACAAATAAAGATGTGAATTCCTACAGACAAGGAATACTGACAGGCAGTGTAACTTCCTCTATACCAGCACCGCAAGAAGAACAGAAGGGAACCATGATTAACTGGAACCCAACATTGAAAAGGTGAACAAAATAAGAAAAAAAAGACAATGCCAAAATCAACAAACAACATGAAAGACAAAACAAGATGGCAGAGAGCAGCTGAGGGCTGGTACCCAGAGGAGCTTAGCACGGCTGCTGATCCTCTCAAGCAGAACGGAGACAATGAGACGATTAGGCCTGAACTTGTGTTGGAGTGTTCCAGTTTAGCTCACCGCCCACCGTGGCACTCGGAG